TCTCTTTCCTCACCACTCCTCCTCCTGCTGCTCCTCCTCCTCCTCCTCCCCCTCCTCCTCCGATGGTGGTGATCGGAATGATGATGGTGAGAATGATGATGAAAAATGGTGGGGAAGGACTCCTCCCCCCCCCTTCCTCCTCCTCCTCCTCCTCCTCATTCCCCTCCTCCTCTTCCTCGCCCTCTCCTCGCCACCACTCCTCCTCTTCCTTCTCCTCCTATGGGGGTGATCGGAATGATGAGGATGAGAATGGCAATGCTACTCATGATGATGATGATGATGATGATGATGATGATGGTGGTGATGTTGATGACGATGATGTTGATGATGATGATCGCAGTTTTCCAAGAAAGAATGGCGGACCCGCCAAAGATAAGAGTGCGCGCACGGCCCGCGCGCGCGCGAGCGACCGCGCGGATGCGCCGAAGAGTTGCGGGGGTCAGAAGCCGACCGACAGCCTTTCCGCCCCACCCCGATTCTCATGCCCCTCCCCATGCCGCACCCCCCTCCCATGCTCCTCTCCATGCCCCTTCCCTCCGCACCTCCCTCACCGTGCCCCTCCCCGATCTGTCAGTCGGCGTCGAACCCCCGCGGGGCCCAAGGCGGCCTACGCGGCCGATGCAAGCCCTGCGCGGGCGGCGCGGCGGGCTGCTAGGCCGACGAGGCGGCCGAAGAGGGCGGCCGACGAGGCGGCCGAAGGGGGCGGCCGACGCCGCCGCGACGGGAGGACCCCAACGTGGCCTCACGACGCGTTGTTGGAGAGCCAGCTGGCCAGCGTCTCCTGCAGGTCGGCGAGGGCCGCCTGCTCGGCGCGGAACGCCACGGCCGACCGCTCCGCCACTGCCAGGCAGGCCGCCGAGCACATCCTCGCCCTCGTGACGCTGTCGAGGATCACCTGCGCCTGCGCTGAGTTCAGCTGCACGGTGGCCTCGGGCGCGATGTTGGCGCTGACGGGCGAGCTCGCTCCGCTCATGTTGAGCTGAAGCGGACCGCCCTTGCCGCTGCCCTTCGGGAAGGCCGCCGCCACTGCACTCTGGCTGAGTGGAGCGACCTGCTCGGGAGGCTGGTACGGCGCACTGCGAGCGCCACGGCGGCGGTTGTTCTTGCACCACTGCTCGTCGTTGGCCTTCTGCCAGCGCTCCCACTCGTCCGTGTCCTCAGTCCACTCCTCGACCTTCAAGCGCGCCCCGCGATCGCTCGCGCCATTCGTCGAACCTCGAAGGCGCTCGGACCTCGGTGAGCCGAGCGCCACCGAGGTTCGCCGAAAGACGTGGGCAAGCAATCGTTTGGGCGCGCCGACCTCGGCGATGGCCAGTTGAAGATCCGCGTCGACATCCTCGAGGAGGTGGTAGCTCGACTTCACCAAGTGCGTCTTGAGCCTCGACAGGGCCTCATCTCGCGACGCGCCCTTGAAGAAACTCCCGCGTTTCGAGCAGGTCCCCGACAACGGGCACGTGCACCCGAAGACGCTGATCATGGGCATCTCGCGAAGAGAAGAGCTCGATGGCGCACTGGAGGCCCGCGATCGAGAGCGCGCCAAAGACGGCGCGAAGGGAGGCGGCCGCGAAGGCTGCGAGAGCGCGCCGAGGACGGCGGATGGGCGCCCGCGAAGGCGCGCGCGGGAAAAGCGCGGCGCAAGCGCAGCCTGGAGCCTGCGGCTGCGGAAAACATCATAAGAGGAATGGAGGAGGCGTGCAGGGAGCGTGGAGCACGCACAGGCGGTACACCGCCGAAGCTGAATGGGGGGGAGTGCTGGGAGTCCAGCGCGCGCGGGCGGTGCACCGCCGAAGTTAGGCGGAGTGCCGCCGACGAGAGCCCATGACAGGCGGTGCCCCGCCGATTTTTTGCTGGCGACGCGCGCAAAGGATATTCGCGAACGGTCCCGCGAGCGCGGCGCACGCCTACCGCGACAGCCGCCAGCGGCGAAGAACGGCACCTGAAAATCGGAAAATCAGATGCCGACTGAAACTTCCACTCCGCTCTCTTTCCATTTGTCTCCTGGCTCACCGTCCATCACCTCTCCGCTCTCACGTCCCCCCGCCCCTCATGGATGTTTCAGTCGGCGTCTGACCTCCGAGGGGGTTGTCAAAGCCCGCGGCCCGCGAGTCTCAGAGGTACAGCCCGCGGTTCTTGGAAGGCATCGCCTTGACCGTCAGGGGCAGTGGAGGCGGCCGCACGGCCGCTGCCTTTGCCGCGGGCGCCGAACTCGCGGCCGTCGGCCGCGGGGGCGGCGGTGGCGGCGGTGGCGGCGGCGGCGTCGGCGCGAGGTACGGGCCGCCGCCGCTGTCCTGGAGCGAGCGGCGCGGTGGCGCGCGGCCGTATTTGGAGGCGTACCACTCCGACTTGGGGCCTGAACCACCACGGTTGCCCCAGCGCTTCCCGCTCTTGCGCCACGTCTGGCCGCGCCAGAATTGCGGGCCACCGTGCATGGGCGCGGGCGGCCCCCTGCTGGCGCGACCCCAGATGCCGACGTAGCGCTGCAGCAGTTCCAGTGGCTCCTGGACGCGCTTGGAGTTCCAGGCGATCGGCGCGCTCTCGCTCAGCAGCGAGCGCAAGAACTTGTACGCCTGCACCACGTCCTCTGGCGCCGCAGACGCTTTCGGCACTTCGGGTACCTTGGCGACGAAGGCGCCCACGTTGGGCGCGCCTGAGGCGCCCACGTTGGGCGCGCCTGCTGGCGGTTGCGCCTGGCGCCACGGCGGCTGAGGCTTCTCCGACGGCGGCTGCTGCTGCTGCTGCTGCACCTCCTGCTGCTGCTGCTGCTGCTCCGCCCGCCACGTGCCGCCAGCGTCTCGGGTGCGACGTGGCGGCGACTTCGGCGCCGCGCCCTGATTGTGGACGGGGATGAGCGTCGGTCCTTGCTTCGCCTCTGGCGAGGGGTCGCTGCTGCTGCTGCCAGGGCACTCCGCCGTCTGCCAGCCTGGCGGCGCGGGATCGGCGATGATGTCATCCATGCCTGCCTCCTGCGCAAGGCAAGGTAAACGCCGAGAGCACCGTCGCTTCTGGGCCCTGCCCCGCCGCCGCCTGCATCCAGGCCAACGCGGGCGAACGGGGGCGGGGCCGCATGGGCGTCGGGCGCGCTCGATCCGTTTCCCTCGAGCCTGGGCGAACATCTCGAAGAGGTTCAAGGCTTCGGCGACCTGCTCGAAAAGCGACTGGCTCGCATCTGAAGCCGCCGTGCGCACCCCAACAGGAATCCAGGAAATCAGCCTGCACTGCCCAAGCGGACGCTTCGGGCTGAGCAGGCGTTTTCTGAATTCCCAGCGCCTCCGCGGAGTTGCCCATGGCGCTGCTGGCCGCGCCCTCGCTCGCCATGCGCCCGCGAAGCGCCCGCGGCCGCTGGCGGCAGCGGCGCGGGGAGGGGCGCCGCGGGACCCGCGGGGAGGGCTGCTTGAATTGAAAAGGCGCGGGGGGAGCGGCGGAGGGAGGCGGGCAAGGGCGAGGCAGCGGTCAGAGAAATGAGAACGCCCATGGTAATGGAACCAGCGAAGGCGGAACACCGCCGACAACAGATGGAGGCGGTGCACCGCCAGGCAAACCTTCCAATAAATACGAAGAACCGCCTGAGCAGCGCAAGGACAAGCAAGGCCCGATGAGATTACGATCCGATTTCGATCCGAGTTCCTTGTTTTCTGAACGCAGGCTGCGCGCCCCACGCGCCGCCCGCGGCAAATCCGACTGAGAGTCATGCATCGCGCCACCGAAGCAGGTCGCCTCAGAACTCGCCCTTGCGAGCCTCCAGCTCGCTCTGCACCAGCGCCTTGGCCCAGGCGATGGCGGCCTCCTGAGTGGCAGATGAAAACCGTCATAAACGCAAAGTGGCCCGCGGGGTCTCTTTGCGCATATGATTGGAGCGAGGCCACGCGCGGCCGCAACAACGCGCTCCGCCGCCGCGCATCGAGCCCCGTGGCCACGCCGATTGGAGGAGATGGGACCCAAAAGTGTCCTTCTCCTTGCCGTTCCTGTACTTCTTGCTCTTGGTGCCGCCTGGCCCGCTGCGCCCGCTCCTGAAGAGAATCTGGCTGCGAGTGGTCTCGTCGTCATACCGCGGTGCTTTCAGCTTGCATGCTGCCGCCTTCGCCTTCGCAATCTTCTTCGGTGTTGCCTCGGCTTTTGCCTTTGCCTTTGCCTTCGCCGCCGATGGCTTCGCCGTGCCATCTGAAGCCTTTGTCTTCGCCAAGGCCGCCACTGCGTCGGACTTCCTCCGCTTCTTCTCGCCCTTCTCCGCTTTCCAGCCAGAGGAAGTACGTTGCCCCGCCGCTTGGAGGAGAACCAGGGCAGCGTCGGCAGGCAGCTTCGCCAGCGGCAGTGTCGGATCCACCTTGACAGCGGCAAGTGGCAATAACCAATCGCCGCGCCTGCGACGCCCCGCAGAGGGCGCGCCGCTGCCTTGGGCAGAGGCGCGCCCCCGTGAATCGCGGAGGCCGCGGAGGCGGGCCCAGGTTACCGTCCAAAAACCTTTGCCTTCTTCTGCGGCGCCCCCTTCGCGTCCACCTCGGACTCGCTCGAGCTCAGCACCATGACGTCAACGGCCGATGCCTTGACCTTGGCGCCACCGCCCAACTTTGAGGCCGCGGCCGCAGGCGCCGCTCCCGACATCGCGGCAGGCTTGCCCGCGGGAGCTGCTGGAGTGGGAGTCGTCGGCCCGCGCTGCGAGACGAGGGCGGCCGCCGCTGGGTTCGGCCACCCGCCGCGGGTGTTGTGCGTTGGGATCACCCCCAACGGCAACGCCGCTGGCGTCGCGGCTCCCAAGGGAGGCGTCGCGGCAATCGTCGCGGCTGCAACCGCAACGCTTTGCATCGGAGAAGGCGGCGGCAGAGGCGCGAAGGCGATCGGCGGCAACGCCGCCCGCTGCGGCGTTGCCTGGGCGCCGAGCGCTGCGTTCCTGTTGCCGCGCAAGCTGATGAGCTTCCCGAGGATCTGCGTCTGATGAGCTTCCCGAGGATCTGCGTCTCGAGAAGCCCAATTGTCGGCTGCGCGGGCCCCTCCGAGGCGAACGCCTGCTCGTACAGCGTCGGCCTCTCCTGCTGGAACAGCGCCGCCGAGGGGGAGAGCGCGCCGACAAACTCGGTCGCCTTGCCTCGAGCAGCTGTGTAGGCAGGGGAACGCCACGTGGTCTTCACCAACTGCAAGTACACGTCCAAGAGCTGCGGAGTCGGCGAATTCTTCTCGATGCCTGATCGCTGGCACGCCAGGAACATGAACGCGGCTAGCATGCCAAACGTCGGCTCGGAAGGGTTCCGGAGCCCGAGGCGCTCCAAGTGGCGCATCAACATGACAAATTTCGAAGCGAACGACTCGGTTGGGCTCAGCAGCACGTGCCACGTGGAGGCAGTAAGCAACTCCACGAAGCACTCGTAACTTTGCCCTTTGGCCTTCGTGCGCCTCCCGCAGAGCCACTCGGTCGCGGCGCCGACCAAATCGTGACTGAACCCCGTCTGCCCGAGCTGGGTCAGCAGCTGCCCTTTCTCCGTGGCCGTCCACCTGCAAAACGACGGGGGAATGTTAGACGGCGGGGAGGAGGGGGGAGCGGGCGGCGTTCCGCCGAACGGAGGCGGGGACCTCCTCGAAGGGGGAACGGATGGCCTCTCGCCCGTACGGGATCTTTGACCCGAGCCTCACCTCTGGCCTTCGATGAGCGCGCGCACCTTCCCGAAGTGCAGCTGCTCTGCAGCGCCCCTGGAAGGCCCGCTCGCCGCTGCAAGCGCCGCGGCTGCCTCGCCCAGGGCAGCCTGGACGCGCTCCATCGCGCCGCGGCGCGTCGGGGGGCGCCCGCCCCGCGGCCCCTCCAGAAGCGCTTGGTGGGACAGGGGCAGCGTATTGTGGCGAAGGGAAATGGCATGGCCCTTCACGTCTTCCTTCTGCTATCCTCTCCTCCCCCCTCTCCCCTCCTCCCCCCTCCTGGGCGGTGCGCCGCCAATGCGACCAATCAAACGGTATATGATGAAACGTGCGCCGAAGGCGGTGCACCGCCAACGAATGCAGAAACACCTCGCGCAATCAAGGTGACGTGGGCGGTGGGCCGCCAAATGCGATGACAAACTCGGGCGAAGCATGCGCCGCGGGCGGTGCACCGCCAACGCGAAAGAAACGCATCGCGCAATCACGGGGACGTGGGCGGTGTACCGCCAAATTCGATGACGAATTCGGATGAAACGTGCTGCGTGGGCGGTGCTCCGCCGATGCGTGAAGAAACGATTCGCGCAATCAAGGGAACGTGGGCGGTGCACCGCCAACGCGACGAAACTTCAATCAACATGTGCAAAACGTACAAATTGCAATGCGCGGGCAAAACATAGCGATGGGCGGTGCGCCGCCAATGCGATAAAACTGCTCAGAATTTGCAAGACGTGGGCGGTGGGCCGCCGAAACGAATCACATCAGAACGCGCCGCGATGAGAAGTGCGGGCGGTGTGCCGCCAATGCGCATGGCATCCCCTCCCGATCCCCCCCCCGCCATTCCCGCCCCCTCTCTCCTACCCCCCAGGCTGCGCGGGTTGAGCTCGGTGATGAACGGCCTTCTCGGTCGCCTGGCGCCTGGCGAAACACTGTGCTGAAGAAAACCTGCGCGTTTTTCGGTCTCCGACCCCCTTTTCAAAAAGCAGACGAAAAAGCAGACTTATCGGACTTAAACTTATCTTATTTATCAGTATAACTACAAGTAACTTATAAGTATGGCAATTGGGTGCACACAAGTAACATATGTTCTACATGTGATTTAAGTATATATGTTAATGACTTAAGTTAGATGTGGATGGTAGTTGCAGGATCTTAACATATCTCACTACAAGTGATTTCAAGTTACTTACAAATAACTTCATATATAATTGAAGTAACTTATAAGTGACTTCATCTGACATAAATCTCATATGTCAACGCCATCACCAAAGTCACCGCGTTTGCCTGCGGCGCGCCCATCGGCAGGGCTCCGACATTTAGGTGGAGGCGCGCCCGGCGCATTGCCGCACCCCACCCGCTGTCCACGCGGGGCAACGATTAACCGGAGAAACTTCTGCCGCCTCAACTCCTCGACGACCGACAGGGGCAAGAACGCAGCCTTCTCGCGAACGGTCGACGCCGCCACCCGCTGTTGCGCCTCTTTCCCTAGGTCGGCCAACATTACTTTTCCTGGCGCTGAACTCGCCCAGCATCGCACCTGCCCCCACTGCACCGGGGCCTCGAGATCGGTCCGCAGGCAAGACAACACTCCGGCTATGCGCAGGCGCGTGCACATCTCGGCTTGCCGCCGACGCGCATTATATACGATCGGCATCTGGTTGGGACTTGGGACGGGAATTGTCTCCCCCCTCCGCCCAGCCGCCCGAGATGACTCGGGCTTCCCAGTCCAACTGCATCGCGCTCGCCCACGCAGGCCCTGCGTGGCGCAGACTGCACGAGGTCGCAAGATCCAACTGGGAATCGTCCGCTAGCGAGCCTCGGAATACCTCTATCAGCGATAGGTTAAAAGCACCCGACTTCAACGGCGCGCCGGAAACTGGGTCGAAGACGAGCCCCGCCGGCACAGCCCTTCCTGCTCGATCTCCCCGCGCCGCCAGCTTGCGCCAGCCATCCCACAAGGCGTCAGCGGCGGACTGCGCGCCACATAGCCGCCTCGGCAAACACCAGTCGAAGGAAGGTCGCCCCTGTCGCTTTCCTTGCTCTCCCCGCGACGCACGGAACCAGAAAATTTCAACAGACTTCTCTAACGGCCTAGAGCGCAGCAGGCGCGTGCACCTCACCCACGCGAATATTATCGCCAGCACCCCGGCCGCGAGCGTGACTTGCCCGAGCGTTCTCGCGCCATCCAGGAAATCGATCACGTGGTAAATCATCTCGGGCTCGACGACAATAGCCTGGGCCGGCGGCGCTACGGCCCCACTGCCTGGACCACGTGGCACAAGCCGAAACGCATCATCCAGGCAAGAAGGCGCTTTCAACTGCACGCGCATCCATTTCAAACTGTTCCAGATTCTGACGCCGGACGTCCGCGCGGTCGAGAGCTCATGCACGAACTCGGCGACTGCCATGGGTTGCTGCGCAAAACGCTCCGCCGGCCCCCCTCGCCGGCCCGCCCACTCGGCCCGCTGCCCCCGCGCGCGCAATGCCGCGCGCAACGTCCCCGATTCGAAATTACTCAATCTGCACACTGCCGCGGACGAGACGTCGGCGAGCATCTCGGCCTGCGCCTCCTGCAGCCCTTGCCCGAAGCCGCTTCCCGGGAACCGTTCTGGCGACACTCGAACTGCACTGACCGCCAGCTGAACGCGCCCCTCCGGCTCTGCCGTCTCCGTTGCCACCGCGGCACATCGTCACGGCCGACCGCGGCTTGCGGCGGCAGGCTCACGCCCTTGCCCCGCCGCGGTCCCCGCGCTCGCGGCGGGCGCCGCCGCGCCGCCAGATCGCCCCTCCGCGCCAATGCCACGCGCGGGCGTCAGCCACGGCGCCACCCGCGCCACGTCCCGAGCCACGGCCCAGGCCGCGGGCACTCCGCACTGCTCCGCCTCGTCCGTCGAGCAAAACAGATGCGCTAAGTCGCCGGCCGGCGCCAATCCCTCTCTCTCCACGAGCGCAGAAAGGGAATCGCGCTCGGAGGAATCGACCCTCCAATCTAAGAACTCTTCGATGAAGAGCTCCCCGCGCTGCCCGGCCATCCAGCAGCACACAAGCAGCAAACCAACGGCAAACGCTGTCGCCAACGCGCTTCGCTCGCACGAGCCACATGCGCGCTTCTGAAGCGCGCCGTCCCTGCGAGCGCGCGCGGGCGCCCCCTTCTGTCATGATTATGGCTCCCTGACCCGAGCCTCCCCGAGCCTAAAGTCAACGCAAACGTGCACTCCGGCCCCGTGTGCACCGTCATCTGCGCTGTTCCCTCCACAGAAAACGCCCCCCGTGCGCAACCCCCTTCTCCGGCCCCGCGCGCAGCTAAGACGCCCTCGGGGACCCGCACGACTCCTGGCGAAAGCTAAAGGTTCCCTCAGGGACCCTCACGACGACGACGACGAGAGGGATGCGGATTTTTCCGGGGCGCCCCCCGGCCGCGCCTCGCACGGTTCCTGCGGCACTCGGCCCCGCGCGGGGGAGCCTGCCCGGCAGAGAGTCCGAGGGCCCGCGGAACTCGGAGGGAAACGCGGGCGCAGCATGCCAGCATGAAGCACGCGGGCCCTGGGGGAAAAGGGGCCCTGGAGCCGCGGGGCCCCCCCGCTTTCACCCCGAGTCGGTCTTCCAAAGTCGTTTTTTCCCCCGGTTTCACCCCGAGGCGGGCCCCCCCCGTTCTCACCGCCGAAGAATTGTAAGATATCCCGAGGAATCCTGAGGAGCCCCGCGGGGGTCTGAGACACCACTGGAGAAATCCTGAAGAACCCTTTGGGGTCCAACGGGTTCCTGTGGGATCCTGAGGAATCCTTGGGGCTCGGGAGGCATCTCGTGGAATCCTGAAGGATCCTGGGGAACACGAGCGAATCCTGAGGAGCCGTGATGCGAGCCCAGAAGAAGCCTAGGGGATCCTGCGGAATCCGCGTCGGTCCTGTGGAGTCCTTTGGAATCCTGAAGAATGCGACGGTGCCATGAGGAATCCTGACGGGCACCCCCATGAGGAGATCCTGAGGGATCCTGGGGAATCCGACAGAGTCCGTGAGCATCCTGAAGAATCTCTGAAAACCCTGAGGAATCATGGTGGGTCCTGGAGAGGAGGATGTTGGACTGCTCTGGGGGGGGTCTGGGGGATCCGGGCGAGTCTTTGGGGGTCATGAGGAGTTCTGAGGTGTCCCCACGAATCCTCGGGCGCCCTGAAGAATTCTAAGGCATCCAAAGGAACCCTGAGCAGGCCCGCAAGATTCTGAGCAACCCTGGCGAGATCCCGAATAATGCTTGGGGAATCCACAAGAGTTGTGCGAAGTTCTGAGGAATCCTGGGTTCTCGGGAGGAATCCTGAGGAATCCGGATGGATCCTGAGGAAAACGGACGAAACCTGAGGAGTCCTGAGGAGTCCAGAGGAAGCCTCGGGGATCCTGAGGAGTCCGTGTGTGTCGTGAGGATTCCTGTGCAATTCTGAAGAATGCTATGGGGTCATGAGAAATCCTGAGGGTTTGAGGGGTGCCCTGAGGGGATCCTGAGGAATCCTGTGGGATCGGGAGGAGCCTTCAAGCATCCTGGAAAACCTTTGAGGAGGATCCTGGACTCTCCTGGTGAATCCTGAGGAGTCCTCGGGGGTCCTGAGAATTCCTGACGCGTCCTGAGGAGTCCTTGGGGGTCCTGAAGAATTCTAAGACATCCTGAGGAATCCTGAGCAGCCCCTCGGGATCCTGAGAAACCCGAGTGGGATCCGGAAGAACTCTTGGGGGTTCCACGGGTTCCTGTGGGATCCTGAGGGATCCTGAGGGATCCTGAGGAATCCCGGGGACTCGGGAGGAATCCTGAGGAATCTTAGCGAAGCCACAGGAATCCTAGGGAATCCTGAGGATCCTTAGCGAAGCCAGAGGAATACTGGCGACCGGGGGGAATCCAAAGGAATCCTAGCGAATCCTGAGGAGTCCTGATGAGAGCCCAGAGGAAACCTAGGGGATCCTGAGGAATCCTTGTGGGCCTTGGGGAATCATGGGGGATCCTGAAGAATGCGAAGGAGTCCTGAGGAATCCTGAGGGGCACACTGAGGGGCTCCTGAGGAATCCTTTGGGCCCCTTCGGGGTCCTCAGGCATCCTGAGGAACCTTGGGGGATCCAGAGGTATCATCGTGGATCCTGAGAAGGAA